TGAAGGATAAGCTGATAAATTTAACATTTATTAATACATATTTGTTTCGTTGATTTATTTGATGAATTGAACACTTAATTAATGCAAATTTGTTTCTTTTTCTAGAACATTAATTGGAACTACTATTCATATTAAGCCTCGAATAAGACGAGGTAGTTTCAATTACTAACGCACTTTTATTTTGTGTACATATACTTGGCTTATTTATTAAAACGTTTTAGCGGAAACTTATGATAAAGCAAACAGTACCACAAATGCGAACTTCATAACTGCGGGCAGCTCATCAGACGTAAATCATGGTACGGAAAAGGAGTTGAGTTATTCTGCCGATTGTATTTGGCCGGCACTCAGTGGCGATAGCATTACAAGCACTCATAGTCCGATTATCAAATATATTAAGCTTAAGTAACTAATTCTTAAAAATTATTAAAATAGTTAAGTTACCCAGTAGAAATCTTATGCATACGACATCGATTTCGGTGGCATGAACTTGTTGCTGTATGTGCATGCCAGTATAAATGTACTTTCATTTCCATTTATCATCCCAGTAGAAATTTTATGCATACGACATCGCTGTTGGTGGCATGTACTTGCTACTGTGTATACACGCCAGTATAAATGAACCTTCATTTCCATTTAATACGTGTGGTTTCTTAGAGCGTATGCGTACTCTAACCACACACTTGTACTACTGCTATATGCTTATGGCTGTACTAATGTTTCAAACATACAAAAATGCATTAATGGAACAGTATTAAAGCATTCTTACAAGATATGTATCCCAATAAGTAAGTGCTATTTTTCTGATACATTTCAATACATGGTACATATGGGTGCATGCAAAAAAGTAGCATTTACATATGCGAATGCATGTCTTGTAAAATCCCGTTAGTTCTGAAAATATTATCGCACAACACGTCCGTTCACTAAAATTGTTGTACAAGACTGAAAATATTACAAAAATTTCACTGCTGTATAGTAGTCAAATTTACCAAGAAATGTACATAAAACAACAACAACGTATGTTCGCTTGCAGTTCGCTAGAATGTAACTCATACAGCTTACATACTTCATGAATGCATACAACCAATTTCTACTGGGATGTGTGGTTTCTCAGAGCGTATGCGTACTCTAACCATACACTTGTGCTGCTGCTGTATGCATATGGCTGTATTAATGTTTCACACATGCAAAAGCACTATTATACAGTCATAAGAAATACACATAATTAGTGTTTGCAAAAGTACTAAGGCTGCATTAATGGAACAGTATTAAAGCATTCTAACGCGATATACATAAACATATTTCCATATTTAAATACTACTTTTCTGATACATTTTAATATATGATGGCACATACGAGTACAAACAAAACTGAAACATTTACATATGCAAATCTATATCACGTAAAGGCCCTGTTAGTGACAAAAATGTCGCACAACACGTCCGCTCGCTAAAAATTTTGCACAAGACTGAAAATATTACTGACATGTAACAACAAAGTACGTTCGCTTACAGTTCGCCAGAACTTGACTTTATTTCTGCAAATTCATGGCCGCTCATGAAGTGATCACACTTTTTCACTCATATAGCATGCATACTTCATGAATGCATACAACCGATTTCTCCTGGGTACTCATACGCATTTCCTTTATACAGGGTGTCCTAGAAGTAACCTGCCAAACTTGAGGAGAAGGCAGGTGGGGTGGTGAGCTCCCTGATAAGCAAAAATTTTTCAGGTAAAAGTGTCACCGTTTTTGAAATATTTAAATTTTTTTGAATTCAAGAAAACTCGTGCCTTTTCATTTATTTTCTTTAACTGCATCTACAAACAAGGCTATACTTAGTAAATTTTTTATGTAAAATACTTCCAGATAGTTGCTTCTCCATATTCAAATGCAATGTAGTAGATAACAAGTAAGAAAGTCTAAGTTCGGGCGGAGCCGAACATTAAATACCCGGCGCAGGTACCGCTACATGGTAAGTCGGTGTGTATCAGTTTTGAGTAAATTAGCGTCCTTAAATTTCGAAATATTGAAGTTTCAAGCATTTCTGAAATTTGCCGTTATATGAAAAGTGGTCGTAATTTGAATCTGATTCCAATAATTTTCAACGTTTTGCTTCTATGTGGCAAGCACAATAATCATACCGAGTTTGGTACAAATTGGTAGAACGGTTACCGAGATACATATATGTGATCATAAGTGGGCGGTGCTACGCCCATTTTCCAAAATTTTGCCATAAACGTATTTCTTGGCAAAGAATTGTTGCAAACATAAATTTTGAGTAAATTAGCTTTAGTATTTGTTGATTTATCGAAGAAGTCGTATTTCTCCAAATTACCGTTATATGGGAGGTAGGCGTGGTTATTGTCCGATTTTAAAAATTTTCGGCCATTTGGTATGCTGTAGCAAGACTAACAACTGTACCAGTTTGGAAGAAATTGGTGCAGCAGTTACCAAGATATACACATGTATCCATAAGTGGGCGTGGCTACGCCCATTTTACAAAAATGAACAATATTCTTATTTTTCGTCTAAAGGTTATTGTAGATATCAATTTTGAGTGAATAATCTTCAGTAGTTACTAAAATATCGCAGTTTTCGTATTTCNATTTGCGTGTATTTTGTTGTTGCTTCTGGTATCGAAAGTGTCAAAAACTGTTCTGAATTTTTTCTTCTAAATCAAAGCGTGCCATGTGAAATACAAAAAATTATAAAAAATAAAAAATTGAAATTGGAAAAATAAAAATTTATGCAACTTTCTTTCCTAGTAAATTTGTTTGCTTCTCGAAGCATTGATCCATCCTTTGCAAGGCCCAGTAATCAGCGGTCGTGCTGCCGAGTTGGGCGAACGTTCCAAAAGCTGCTATTCAATCGCTTGTTTTGTATGGGAAAAGGTTTCACAAGCAAATGGATTTTCAAGAATTTTTCAGAATTTTTGTGAGAAAAAATTAAAAATATTTGACATTTTCGAGACCAAATAATTTGAAAATAAATCAAATCAGCTGCTCTACTCATACTACCTGTTCAATGTACCTTGTAAGGAACCATTATAAAATTAGGACTATTTTGGGATTTTTAACATTTTGATATTATGTCCCCCAACTTAGACTATCTCTGGTGAAAAAAAAAGTACTGAGCTATAACTTTACATTACATAAAAAAATTGCTCATTTATTAAATATTTCAGAAATGTGCCACTCTTACTATTTCGAATAGAAAAAAAAGTTATAGCCGCTTTTGTGGGTAAAGGACTGAGACACGCTAGAATGTATTTAATAGATTTAAATTTAAGTTGCTCTTATTACTGACCAATGACATGCTAAATAGTACAAAGGTACATTATTACATGCTCCTGACATTATTTTATGTTACTTACCGGGATGCGGACTAGAGTCAATAACAAGGGCTATATCTATCAATATTTTTTGTGAAGGATGGGTTCGCGTGAAATAAAACATACATGAGTTGTTTGCAGAAAAATTTATTCATTTATTGATAAAATATGCTCAAATTGGCGACCTTCTACTCTAATACAAACTCGGCACCTTTAAAGAAAAGACGCTTTTAGAGATCTTAAACTCAATTGGACTATCTCAGCAGCAGCTCCATTTATTTTTTTCGGCAAATGCTCTTCGTCTTCAATTATTTTTGAATTAATTTTGTCCTTAAGACAGCCCCAGTAGAAAAAATCGAATGGATTCAGGTCTGGCGATCGAGCAGGCCACGTGATTGGCCCGTATCGTCCAATCCATCGGCAAGGATAATGGGTCGATTATGTATAGCAACGCAACTATGGTTTGGTTGGCAGCTTGCAACGCAACTAGAAAGAAAATTTGTATTACGAATGGCAACTATCGCCAGTTGTTGAAAAGTTATCGATAATTGAAATTTGACAGCTCGTCAACCAGCGCAGGATTGTAACAAGCAAAATAATAGCAAAATAAAAGTGAAATAAAGTTATTAATATAGAGTTTTTAATAATAAGTCTTGCTACAATGCTTAGTTCAATAGAACTATTTTTTGAAGAGGAGGAGGATTGTACGAACGCAGCAGGCGACATTTAAGGGATAATTTCAATCCTTTAGAGCTGCCGCCGGCACTGTAAGTAAAAGTTATGATACGGTTTAGTTATTTGTACAATGATTTTAAGTTGTGGTGTTCAAACGCGTTACCGGAATCCTAAAACTTTAACATATACGTGATTGAAATTATGAAATTTTAATCTACTTTTTTGTAAATTTCTATGTGGGTTCTGCGCAAAAGTACTGTGGATGGCGTAGCCGGAATTATACGTACAAGAAATGATGTATACTTTTGACAATAGCAGTTTGGACTGTGCTTTTTGTAATGCATGGGGCTTTAGGTGCAACGGCCCCTCTCCCTCCGCTCCACACCACAAATTCATTGTACCAATAACTAAACATTTTCCAAAAGTTAACGCTTGGAAGACTTTATTGTGATTCTTTTTGTTTTCAGAATTAAAGCATATTTCCGACTTCCAAAAGAAGCTGTATTATATTTGGTAAATACATTGAGGGATGACTTTAGGCGGAATCATCGTTCAACTGCAGTACCTCCGCTAATAAAAGTTTGCGCAGCTCTCCGATTTTTTGCAGATGGAAGTTTTCTGAAGTCTCACGGCAATGACTTCAATTTGGGACTGGCGCAACTTACGATGTCGGTTGTTTTAAAAGAGATGCTTCAACTTATTGAGGAAAAAATTTGCAATCAATGGATTACTGCAAAAATGACCGAGGAAGAGAAATCCAAAAACAAGAACTTCTTTTACTCGAAAACGAAATTTCCAGGTGTTGTTGGATGTATAGATTAGACACATGTGCATATATTGGGACCGAATGATAATGTTCGCCATTTATATATGAACAGAAGAGGATATTTTAGTTTGAATGTTTTACTGGTGAGTTATGTTATCTTGAATGGTTATTTTGTATGACATTTCGTTTTTGTTTTTTTTTGTAGATGTGCGATTACCCAAATGCGGATACGGTATGTTGATGCTAGGCATCCAGGATCTACTCACGCTGCTTTTATTTGGAACAATAGTGATTTGAAACAAATGGTTGCTGATGATTTTGGTCCGAACACTTGGCTTCTAGGTTATATTTCGTTAATAATTATGAAACCTTTTCATTTCACTCTAAAATACCTATGTGATTCTGGATTTCCATTAGAACCACATCTTTTGACCCCTTTTCGTTCAGCGGAACCTCAATCACCTGAAGCAAAATACAATACAATCCATTCTAAAGCCCGAAATGTGATAGAGCGGACAAATGGCGTCCTTAAGTCTATATTTAGATGTCTTTCTGCTGAAAGGGGCCTGCACTATAAACCTGACAAAGCTGGGTCTATAATAAATGCATGTTGCGCGTTGTATAATATTGGTTTACACTATAAAGCAGACTGGGAGGAAGATCTGACAATCTCGCAGGAAGTTGCAAGTCCAAATGTAACTGAGAATGATAACACCGTAGCCTCTGATATAAGATATAATGTAATGCAATGTTTAAATGAATAAAACAATCTTTTAGTTGAATAAAGTATTTCATTTTAAATTCACTTTTATTAAAAGTAAACAACACATTTATTTATTTTTAGCGTTGTTCATGTTTATTAGTTTTCAGGTAGGAAATCAACTTATTTTATTTCAACTTTTCTTTCAGCTTTCCTTAAAACTAATATATCACATATCGACGGCTGAATGAAAGGTCGTCCTATCTCGGTAGCCAGTTCGAAAACGCCGTATCTCAGAAAACTTTCCAATAACGCTCTATTTCAGAATTTGATTGCAGAACGCCCTATTTCAGAATTCGATTAAAAAACGCCCTATCTCAATATATTTGCATATGAGATAGGACGTTTTTCAACCGAATTCTGAAGTAGGGTGTCTTTCAATCAAAATCTGAGATTGGGCTTTATTGAAAACTTTTCTGAATACGATTTCGAACCGGCGGCCGAGATAGGTCGATCTCCCACTCTGCCGTTGATAAAGTATGCAAAACATATGTACCTAATTCACTTTGGTTTTAATTAAAAATACTATATCACAACAAAAAATACATAATTCACTTTTCTTAAAACTAAAAAAACATAACACAGTTAATTCAATTGATCTTAATAGTAAAAAATATAGGTATAAATAAAAAGCCTCAACTTAAATTGGAGATCTGTTTTTGTAAGAGCTCCAGTTTTTTTTGTTTAATTGCTGCTCTTCAGCAAGCATATGATGTTCTTTTTTTCATCTCATGCGCTTCTTTACATATATTTAATTTTTCCCTCTTCAAATCCCGTATATCTTTTAAGAGATCATTTCTTCTGGACAGCTTTCTTTCAATTTTTTCCAACTTATTAACAACCTCACCCTAAGTTCCTATTTGTTGCTGGAGGAGGTCTAATCGGATATCGTGCGCCCTCTTTCTCCTAGGTGGTTGTACTGCTACAGGAGGCGTCACCGTTTCTTGCTGTGGTTGCTCTGTCTCTACTTAAAAAATTGTTTCAATTTCCTCAATGTACCCAATATTTTCAGTGTCCTGAGGCTGTTGGGGTAAAATTGCTCAGAACGTGCGACCTGGCGGATCGACCGAAGTGCCCATTTGCAGAAAGTCCGCTGCGGCCTGCTCCAGCGCGGACAAACTTATTTCTGCAGATGGTCCGCCGCCGGTGATATTTCTCCTATTATGTGCCATTTTCTTTCTCAGCTTGGCTTTAAAATGTATCCATACCCTCTGGCATTTTTCGGATGTACGAGTTGGCGGTCCGTAACTATTTAATTTAGATGAGATTTCCTTCCAAACATGCTCAGTATTTGCTTTTGTCTCGCCAAAAGCGCGTACACCACGAGCAATCGAAGGATTTTGCTCCATTTGTTGCACCAAAATCTCAAATTGTTGTCTTGTAGTTATTTTCACCATATTATGCAAAAGCAAATACATTGCCAACTGCTAAAAATTAAAATATTTTACTCGCTTGTAAAAACGCTATTCTAACCTCCACAGCAACCACAAAAATGCAGTTGCTGGTATACACACTTTGTGACAACTTCAGTTGACAGTTGAGAGTTGCCAGATGCCATCTATAATATCGTTTTGGCAACTGCCAACTCAACTGAAGTTCAGTTGATATCGATAATCGACCCATAAGTTTCGTCTAAATGAGCTCTTGCTTCGCGCCCGTAGTGAGCACGGCATCCGTCATTTTGCTGCCATAGTCTTCGCCGCAGGTTTAAGGGTACATCTTCTAAAAGAGTTGGAAGTAGTTCCATAGGTCCCAATATCTGACAATTAAAAATACCGCACCACAAATTTATTTTGTACTGGTACTGCGAACGATCTTATCTCATTTCGTGAGGATTGTCTATCTGCCAACTGTGAAGGTTATGTAAATTAAAATAACCATCACGTTTGCATGGTGATTCATCGCTCCAAATTATTTTATTAAAAAAGTTGGGGTCTGAATCATGCATTCGCAACATTTCACTGCAAAATCTAACCCTCGACAGGTAATNAGAACGTGCGACCTGGCGGATCGACCGAAGTGCCCATTTGCAGAAAGTCCGCTGCGGCCTGCTCCAGCGCGGACAAACTTATTTCTGCAGATGGTCCGCCGCCGGTGATATTTCTCCTATTATGTGCCATTTTCTTTCTCAGCTTGGCTTTAAAATGTATCCATACCCTCTGGCATTTTTCGGATGTACGAGTTGGCGGTCCGTAACTATTTAATTTAGATGAGATTTCCTTCCAAACATGCTCAGTATTTGCTTTTGTCTCGCCAAAAGCGCGTACACCACGAGCAATCGAAGGATTTTGCTCCATTTGTTGCACCAAAATCTCAAATTGTTGTCTTGTAGTTATTTTCACCATATTATGCAAAAGCAAATACATTGCCAACTGCTAAAAATTAAAATATTTTACTCGCTTGTAAAAACGCTATTCTAACCTCCACAGCAACCACAAAAATGCAGTTGCTGGTATACACACTTTGTGACAACTTCAGTTGACAGTTGAGAGTTGCCAGATGCCATCTATAATATCGTTTTGGCAACTGCCAACTCAACTGAAGTTCAGTTGATATCGATAATCGACCCATAAGTTTCGTCTAAATGAGCTCTTGCTTCGCGCCCGTAGTGAGCACGGCATCCGTCATTTTGCTGCCATAGTCTTCGCCGCAGGTTTAAGGGTACATCTTCTAAAAGAGTTGGAAGTAGTTCCATAGGTCCCAATATCTGACAATTAAAAATACCGCACCACAAATTTATTTTGTACTGGTACTGCGAACGATCTTATCTCATTTCGTGAGGATTGTCTATCTGCCAACTGTGAAGGTTATGTAAATTAAAATAACCATCACGTTTGCATGGTGATTCATCGCTCCAAATTATTTTATTAAAAAAGTTGGGGTCTGAATCATGCATTCGCAACATTTCACTGCAAAATCTAACCCTCGACAGGTAATCTATCTTGTAGAGCCTGAACACGTTGAATGTGGTAGGGATGGTATTTTAAAGCTTTGTGAACTGTAGTTTTTGGTATTCCAGTCCGTCTTTCCATCATTCTCCCTGAAGTCAATGGACCTAGTTCCACTTCCTCTAACACAACATTAACATCTACCGTTGCAGGACGTCCTGTCTCGCCGCCATGCCTTCCAGGTATGCGACCTTAAAAAAGTTAAAAATGATAGTTAAAAGAAGAATGGCTTCAAACAAGAAAGGTGTAAAAATCACTTACCTTCATATATTTCTCTATGGGTCCGGGCGAATACTTCACGACCCGGATGCCGACGATCTGGGTAACGCTCTGCATAGTCTTTGAGCAGCTCTGGCATTACAGCAAGCTTCACCGTAAATTAGGTGAATATCCGCATATTCATGCGACGTATACTGCGTGTTCTCTGTCATAGTATTAATACCACAATGTTCGAAGGGTCCACTTTCACAAAATCCACTTTCATTATTTCCGGTAATGTCAGGAGCAAGTAATAATGTACCTTTGTACTATTTAGCATGTCATTGGTCGGTAACAAGACCAACTTAAATTTAAATCTTTTAAATACATTCTAGCGTGTCTCAGTCATTTACCCACAAAAGCGGCTTTAACTTTTTTTCTATTCGAAATAGTAAGAGTGGCACCTTTCTGAAATATTTATTAAATGAGCAATTTTTTTGTGTAATGTAAAGTTACAGTACATTTTTTTTCACCAGAGATAGTCAAAGTTGGGGAAGAAAATATCAAAAAGTTAAAAATCCCAAAATTGTCCTAATTTTATAATGGTTCCTTAATATATTTTTACTACATTGTATTTAAATATGGAGAAGCAACTATCTGGAAGTATTTTACATAAAAAATTTACTAAGTATATTTGGTAACTTTTTCGATAGGTCAATTCAGGTTCTGATTCCACCATAGGAAGTGGCCCGTAAGCGTTTCCTTTTATAGAAATACCTGGTAATCCTGAAAGTTTCGCAAGGTGAAAGTTGTTCCAGCGTTCCTTGGTTACTAGAATGGTGTGATCTTTAACAAACTGCTTGAAAGTGGCTTTTGCTAAGTATAACTACCGTGTCCTTTCCTGGAAGGCTTTGGGTGGTCGTACCTTTCCCTGTCAGTTCGTCAGCTTTTCAATTACCATCAATTTTCTGGTGTATCCTGCAACCATACATATGAGTAGAATTCTACGTAAGTATGTATGTTCTCGTTCAAAAAGCTACGGGATACAACGGGGCACTTTACTCTGTATATGTGTGAGACGAAAGATTTCCTTCAAGTGTTGAATTTTTGATATATTTTCTTGTTACTTGTTTACATACAGTGGTCAAAAAAATTATAGTCACACCATATTTGGACAGGTTTTTACATATTATTTTTGTTGTAATTTAATTTTGGTTATTTCTTTACAAAATATAGATCTTTCTTTAATAGAATTTGTGTAAATTCAAACTTCAAACTTTGTTCAATATTTAAAAAATTCAACAAAACTTTCGTAAAAATTTTAGGTGAATGGAGCTCTGCTTGCCTGAAAAACTTGGTGACTTCGGATGTATTGTACAGTTCTGCACATAAAATAAGTTTCGTAATTTCATGAATCGTAAGTTCACCAAAAATGTGTGGTAAAAAAAAACACAGACAGTCAACTGATAGCTTTTACGATGCCTTTTGCCCGCGCCGCCGAAAGAGACGCAATGGCCGAATGGTCAAAGCATTAGGCTGCCGGTCGAGAGGGTCCGGTTTCGAGTCCTCCTCGAGCGTAGAGAATTTTTTGTTTTTTTATTTAGTATTTTTTATTAGTTTAATTTTTTTTGAATAATCTTTAGATTTAAATGTTTTAAAAACAATTTTTTTTTCAATGGATCTGTATGATATTAAAGAATTTTGGTTTATTTCCTAAAGAAATTGTTATTGAACAAATTTCCTCGCTTGATTTTTGCGTTTTTTTTTTAATAAAATGGAAAGAAATTATCTGTTTCTCNTTACAGTACATTTTTTTTCACCAGAGATAGTCAAAGTTGGGGAAGAAAATATCAAAAAG